TTCCAAGACTTCTCTCCTACAATCACATAAAAATTCCTTCTATTAGTACATAAAAAAGTTTTATATAAATTCTATAAGTACATAATACCCTTCCAAAAAGTTTTATACAAATGGAAAGAAGTTGTATCTTTTACATGACTTGGGAATACACAGAGATAACAGAGATATAAGAAGTCATTCATAAAATATAATATTCATGATGCCAAGAACAGTTCGCACTCAAAACATTCTATTTCTAGACGCGGGGCGAGGCGACGAAAGGTGAGAAGTAAAAGAAGGGATACAGTGAAGAATTTTACATAGTTTTATCAATGAATAACTGCCCGAGCTTTTACTACTTAACGTAACTTTTCTTGCCGGTGTAAGCCCTGTTGCCACTTCCATTCTAACATCACTAGGTTTTGGAATTTGTTGAAAATTATTACATCTAATTTAATGAAATTACATCTAATTTGGTTAAAAATGCCTATTTTTTGTTCTAATGCTCAATTAAGTCTTTGTAGGAAGTATTTTTTTATAATTATTTGAAAAAAATCATTTACATTAGCCCTTATGATCGAAAAAAAATTTAAATGTCTTAGTTTCAACCGTCTACAAATTTGTATAAAAAATCTTCTTTTAGAAATATACCTCTCATTTGACGAAAAACGAAGGCCTAAATGAAAAAAAAACTATTCTTTATAAAAGTTTCGCCTATGTATTGTCAAAGTACTTTCCTCATATTTGTTGCTTTTAAATTAACAAAAATATAGCAATAAACCATTAGTGATGTCATGGTTTTACTAGAAAGCAAACATTAAAGGCAGAGCCTATCGACTCTTTATGCATCTATCTCAGTATTGAAATGTATGCAATCAGTTTGACCCCTCTTATATTATTTTATACAGGGATTATTGATTTATCCACCATGTTTAATAGGGTGTACTAATAATTACTTCAAGATTTATTTTTTATTTTTAATGTAAAATGAAAATAAGAAAATATAAACTATTTATTAAAGGTATTTATTGAAGTATCAATTATAAACAGTAAGGCTATTGCTTTGCAAAATACAATAAATCCCCAATATAAATAAATTATAATAATAATAATAATAATAATAATTGGAAGGAAGTATATAAAGCATAAATTAATAATATTAAAATTTATAATTACAAGACTTTCAAACTAATCAGAATCAGATTCACCACACGAATCAACATTTTCCAAAACATTAGCGGCTGTGGTCAAACTATTTATGCAGTTTTTCTGTGTCATACAGGTGCAGGAACCGATACAGTAAATATTTTTTTTCCTGCATTTGCAAATTTTGCTTCCACAGTCTAGAACAGAATATTATTGTTAGAATATTGTTTAGTATGTTTTTTGCATTTGCATGATGTAAGTTCTGTTATGTCTGGTGGCAGGTCGGGCAGAGTCTTAAAAGTGGGTATCAGACTTCCATCTTGATCTACTTTCCATCCATACTCTTCAACATTAGGAAGCTGCATCTGGGTTTAAAGAGGTTAGCCAAATATTTAGCTGGTAAAAACATCTTAAACAATGTAGTCTTAGGGCGTCTTCAGTCGGTGGTAATTTAGCGATGGTTTTTGAAGAGGTCAATAATCCCCTCAAAATGTTAATGAAAGTAACATTGGCAGTTTTGAATACATTTTTAGGAAAATTCTTTCAAAATTAGAGAATATGTTTTCAGAGTACTGATCAGTGCCAAATCCATCCAAAAAGTAATGGTTTTCAAGGTAAGTTTTCCAACAGGTTTTGTTCCCAATGCCGGACAATTAAATGGTTGTATCACAACCGGTCAGAATGAAAAGCAGGCATATTTTTTAGAAGGTTTTCATCCAAATTTAAATAATGTACTGCTAGAAATCGCCTTGAGTCTCCTCGCCTTGTTCTGAACCATATATCTTTAGTCAAAAAAAATCGTCTTTTGATGGTTCAAAATTCTTTCCATATTTATTGATTTTCGCGAATCCACCACTAGTTAGAAATTGAATATGCTTTTGCTGAATGGAGTTTTAAAGAAGTTGTTCTGGCAGAAAATGTGTTAAACGTCTTTTGTTAAATATCTAATGAATAAACAAGTTCTATTATTGCGGAAGTGGAATATTGGGTCGGTCAATTTCTATATCAATATATTTCTGAAATCCTCTCTTTTGACGTGTTGTATTTTTGATAGAATGTCCTTTATAATGATCAAATACCACATCTATCATTTGAGCATTAAATTTATTTCTAAAAATAATGTTTACAAATATATGAGCATATTCTTTAAATGATATGCAACTTTTGGACTTTCCTATTTTGATATAATTTTTGTCTCTGCTACTTGCAGCAACAAATCCGTAATTAAAATTTTAAACGAAAACTTATAACTTACCCAAATATATTTAGCTGCAACAGGATGAATGTAGATATAATAAAGATGCAAAAATGTCTATATTTTTTCCCAATTTATTAGGTAATTTAATATATAACAAATACACTTATTAATTCTTTAGTAAAAACAGATAACAATATGACACATTGCCCTATGGAACATAACAAGCAGTTTTATAATAAAAAAAATGAAAAATCCTACCATATCAATAATGTGATACATCAGCCCGCACGTAGAGAGAAACAGAGCTATGCTACGTTTAAAGGTGAAGAGAAAGATACACTGAGAGTCGATAAATTTGACGGTGAGAATTAATTACAGCATAAACCTATGACATCTCTCATCGTTTATTGTTATATCTTTGTTAATTCAAAAGCAAAAAATATAGTGTTTACTTTGTTACCTTTTCAACACATAAGCAAAAATTTTATAAAGAATGTTTTTTTTTCATTTAGGCCTTCGTTTTTTGTTAAATGAGTGGTATATTTAAAAAAGACGACTTTTTAACTAAATTTTTGAAGGACTAAAACCAAGATATTTACGTTTATATTTTTTTTCGGCCGTAAGTGCTAATGCAAATGATTTTTTTTAAATAAGTATAAACAATTACTCCCTACAAAGATTTTATTGTGCATTTGACCAAAAAATTAGTATTTTTTTCTCTATTCGGTGGTATCAATATCTGGATTTTTGATGATAGTGCCCTTCTGCACAATCTAATTTTGTATTAACTCCGGAAAAAGGGTTACCTTATCATGACCTTTCATCTGTGAAAAATTCAGCTATGTGACAAAAGAGTGGGAGGTGAATCGTTTTCTTGAGCGAATATTTTAATACATACACTTTACTAACAATGACAACAGCGGATATTATACCCACAATATATTGTGATTATACCCTACTGTGTCCCTTAGAATATGTCTTATTCACGGCCGCACGATATTTGTTAATAGTTACATCTCCTGGTTATCTCTGGGAATACATAATCAGATATTACATTTTCAGGTGTTAAATTTTAATATACATATAGAGCAAAATAATAATTAAAATGTTATAGGGAATTAAAAAAATATGCTTAAATTTAAATCGTAACACTTATTTGTGTTTTCAATTAACTTTATTCAATAAATAATTCAAAACCAATACTAAAAGTGTCTAATTGATTTTTAAATTTTACAAATTGATGGCAAACATTTTTATCAATTTTTGTTTATGTTAAATGCACTGGCGGCTTGTGATCAAAATATTGGGGTTGCCAATGACAGAATATAGAACTCATTACAGATTTAGGTAAAAAACTTTCAGTGTTCATATTATACCTTCCTAAGAGACTGAAAGTTTTTTACCCCAATATTTTAGTCACTAGTCGCCTTTGGTGAAATGTAAGATAAACGTTTTTCTCATTTGAATAAAACTTTTTGGAACACACTGTATATACATATTGCCAAAACGTTGTGATAGGGGAAGGTTGCCTATATTGGTCCAGTTTTTAGTTTTAGGGCTCTAACTTTAAGAAAAAAACTGAAAACTATTTAAAATTTAGACACCAAATACTTTAATATGTTGTCCACTTCCAGTAATTTTTTCAGAATTTATTTTTAAATAATTTTTCATAGAAAAATTTAATCTGGAACCTTTGCAGCTGATTATAGGAAACTGGTTGCCTAAATTGAACCAGTGGGTTACTATATTGGACCATTTATTTTGTTACGTAAAATTAATTAGAACTCTAAGTATACATTAAATGAATAAGAGAAAATAATTTTTATTTAAAAACCAAATGTCAAAAAACTAAAATATATTAAATGAACATTAAAAAAAAGCCAATCTTACCATAAACAATTAAAAATAACACAATAAAAAAACAAAATAAAAACACAAATAAAGAACGATTAAACCTAAGTTATTTAAAATAAAAAGTTATTTTCAGAAACTAAGTAACAGTAAGACTAAAATAGGAACGCAATTTCTACTTAGAGCTAGAAACAAATATCACAGAGACATTTATCTCTTGTAAAGCGAAGGCTCGTATCTACCCCCATCCCCCCTGTGGGAATTCGAGAGCCACATATTTTTTGGTTGGTATTACCATGTAGTTTAAGGTTTTAGTTGTTTGCCTCATGCCAATTACAACATAGCCCGGAAAAACATGGAAAACCGAGGAAAACTGAAAAAAAGTACTTATATTTTTATTAACCTTTTCCAGATAATTAATTTTTGTTTCAGGTGAACTGTAATCATGTGTGATGAAAAGGCTTTAAGTCTAAAGCGGCGACATGGAGCATTAACAACATCACAGGAGAAGAGACGCATAATTCATTTTAATGAAAACAAATCAGACAATAATCAGATAATAATCATTTTCCACCCAATCATTTCAAAAAGTTCGTGAGTATGTTGAAGTGCGACTAAAAGAATCCAGTGAAGGTAATAGATTGGAAACTGTGTGTAGACAAGTTGGTAAAAATTTACGAACTTATTAAAAATTAAAAAAAAAATGTGTACCGCTATCAGGCAATGAATGTGAACCATCAACATCCAAGCGAAGCCGCAGATCTACGGCTCCTACAAGAAATCTATTTACGAGTGATACCTGCATTTGTTGTCAAAAGAATTGAAAATGGATTTCTTCGAAAAAAAAAAGTACGAGTTTCCTACCAAATGTGTTACAAAAATAGCGGGGTTGTCCATTATCCAAGCTGCAGAAGCAAAATCAGATGACAGATTTTTATGTGAAATAAAAGATGTAGATTTCATAGCTCGTAAAGTGCACCATTATAATAACTGTCATAAGGAATACACAAGACTTCCGGATAGACGACTCCATGCCGCTCCAGAAAGCGAGTCACTTGCACAGCAAAAGGTACATAGAGGTGTTGAACGCAGTCTATTACCTCCTTGCAAAGCTTCTCTTGAAAACCACATCAGTCGGGTAAACTACCAGTGCTACATATGGAATAATGCCCACGTCGCTAAATCTATGGCACCAAGTCCAGTGAGGCATGGCTGGAAATTGGAAAATGGACAAGTGAAGATTGATTGGATTAAAGGGGATCCATTGCCGCCCGAACTAACCGATGTTATGGAAAGCTATCATCCAGATGAGTTTGAAGATGGAGATGAGCCAGACCTAGTAACCTTCACTGATATACTACATGAGGTTGATGAAGATGAAGAAAAAAGCTATTGATAACACATGCCGTTGTTTGGAAATTTTTGAATTGTTTGTTTTCATTTATATATAATTAAGATTTTGTTCAACAGTTCAACATTTACAAATAAAAAAAAAATATAAGAATATGGAACTAATATTTCATTTTTCAGCTATTTTCCCGATAAAGAAACCATGAAAACTAAGGGAAGAACTTCTTCACAATATATTGTTCATAAAAACTCCTTCTTCACCGAAAAGTTTCATTAAAATGTCAAAAAATTAAAAAAGTCATCTTTTCCGTAATTCAGCGGTTTCCATATTTTTCCGGGCTATGCTGTAATTGTCAAAAAGCAAACAACCTAAACCTTAAACTACATGGCAATACCAATAACAAAATATGTGACTCAAAAATTCCCACGGGGAGGGGAGGGTTTCGACTTTGTAGCTCATGGTCATGATTCGTGAACCCGCTCTCTGCACTTTAGGCACTGAATCATGTCTTCAACAATGCTCTCGGAGCAAAGTTTGCAGTACCATTCTTTGACATTAATGCTTCTTTTCTTAGAAGTGCCGAAATCAAATTTCACTTTGTGCTTGACAGTTTTCTTTTTTGAAATATCAGATGATGTCTGTTTAACTTCGAGGTCATCTTTGTAGGGTGTGAACTGTGGATGTAATGATTTGTGCTTTTTGGATACTTGCAGTTGGTTTCACCTTCTTGTGATCAACAACTGGAATTTTTAATATTTGCTCTATAGATTCTCCTTTTTTGTTATGGATGGATCAACTTCAGCTGATGAAGTTGCTATTTGTTCCATAACTGATGTTGATATCGATGTTGAAGCTCTTTGATCTAGAAGATTAATTTCTTTTGTTGCAATTGATTCTTTAATGTAGCGACTCAATGGCAATCTTCATCACTGGAATTGGAACTACTTCCAGTGTTATTATATTCAACCATGTCTACACTTGTTTTTGGGATGAGTACTTCTGAAGGTGCAAAATCAACATCGCTGAAATCGTTACGGTTTTCTGGCCAAATTCCCGTTTTCTTGAAACCATTCATAGCATTAGCTACCACATCTGCTCTCGGACAAGCTTCTTCAAGGAGTTGAGCAACTTGGTATTGAGAAACTGTTAATCCGGGATTAGTCCTTAGCCTTTTTTCGTTTGGTTCAGTTCTGTGGTTATGAAGCTCCCTGTATAGGCGAGTTTATTTTATAAAATACCTTTTTAGAGCTATAAAATACTGAATTGGTACGTCTTCTAAATCTTCTAATTTAGCTGCAGTGGTCCCTTTGGAAATAATTGGCACACCCTGTATATAATAACTCAAGTCCCTAAACACAAACATGTTATAAAAATTTAGCGAAAGCTAACCAGTTGTTAATAATTATCTGATGCTAAATGAAATAATAGGAAGCAGCGGATTGGGTAGATACGCCTTAATACTGAATATGTATGTATCTAGTGGTTCGAACTTATTTGATAACAATTTTTATTAGAAAAGTTTAATACAATAATTAATTTGTTCATTTTAATCATGAACTTACTCAAAGAATTCTCTGGCTGGACTGGAAGCTGATGTTATATTGGGAAAAAATTCGGTTACAGGCTTACAATTCGGTGTATTCCATTCGTTCCTACATGTCGTCCAAGGTAATTCTGATTGGAAAGATGTTATGAGGTAGTATAACGCCCAACCTATTATTGTATTGTAGTACATTCCCATGTAGATGTCTATAAGACATATCGCATAACCAACACCTAGAACAAGAGAAGAAAAATTTTTAATTGTTACTTTCCTATTTGTATATAGATGTGTGTGTGTGTGTGTGTGTGTGTGTGTGTGTGTGTGTGTGCGCGTGTGTGTGCGTGTGTGTATTTCTGTGTGTGCGTGTGTGTGCGTGTGTGTGTGCGTGTGTGTGCGTGTGTGTGCGTGTGTGCGCATGTGTGCGTATGCGTGTACGTGTGCGAGTGCGTGTGCGTGTGCGTGTGCGTGTGCGTGTGCGTGTGCGTGTGCGTGTGTGTGCGTGCGTGTGTGTGCGTGTGTGTGCATGTCTGTACGTGCGTGGGAATGTGCGTGTATGTGTGTGTGCGCGCGCGGGTGTGTGTGTGTACGCGGGTGTGTGTGTACGCGTATGTGTGTGCGCGCGCGCGCGGGTGTGTGTGTGTGCCTGCGGTAAACTAATCAAATTTTGGGCAGAGTCGAAACATCTGAATGGTACTTTATAGGGGTTCATTTTTATATTTTATAGAATATATCTGTTATTTACGTTTGGAGACGAAAATTCTTTAAATAAAAGTTACTTCTTTTATTATTATCTATAATTTTTCTAAAATGTACCGTAATGGAAAAATTTAAGGAAAACTGTGAAATTAAAATTTTTCAGTGTATTTTCGTTGGCAATGAATATATATAAAAAATGTTTCAAGTAAGATGTATGTGGAACATGTATATATTTAGTTAATTCTCTAAATATTTACAGGGGTGATACAATAAGTTGTACAAAATAACCAGAAAAAGCCTGTAAAAACTAGAAAGGAAAGTCATGTGTTGGACACATCAGATATTTATATTTACAAAAAGTCACGAGATTGACCATTTGTATGTCATTTTCCTGTAATTTATTATTTTTGAAGCAACAAATGATGCCAGTCAAAATTTATCTGCAGCATTTAGAAAAAAATACCATATGATGCGCACTTTATGCGCGACACTGTATTGTAATGAACTAAAAATTCATGCCTGTTTTTATTTAACTGGAACAACCCTTTTTTTAAAGTTCCTTGATTTTTAAATTATTATTCTCTGAAATTTCCGCGATTTGCAAATAATTATTAATTTTATTTTAAATTTCCTATTGCTGTAAATTAATCGCGTCCCTTCTGCCAATCTCACGCACTTAAGATTGGCGTTAGAGCTGGAGAACGTGGGCCACTCGAAAATAGCGGACGATCAGTTAATTTTAATCTCTCCTTGCGACAAGTTGTTTATAGTTTCATTCAGCCGTGTGTTCCAAAAACCGTGTGAAACTAGCAGGAATCAATCCCGAGTTGTTTATATATTTTTTTTAATGTTTTATCTGCAACCTTATCAGTGTTTTGGAAGTAAATCCAGATTTTGTCTGCTAATTTTACAATAACGAGCCGTATAAAATAATCTAATTCATTTCAATTAAATATTAGCTCAAATTATTTTTATTTAATAAATTGAATTTAATTTGTTTTAAGAAATATTATTATTGAATAAACCGTTAAACTAAAACTTGTAAATATTGTAAATATTGGTTTCGAAAATAGTTATACCGGAGTTGTGCAAAATTTAGTTTCCGTTAACTTTATAAATATTAGTTTTAAAAATATTTATTCTGGGTGGGTGATTAACTTCTCCAAATATTTTGTTTAAAATTTATTATACCGGGATGCCAAGAAATTAATCAATCATAGTTTTCAATTTTAACCTTTGAATTGTTTCAAATGGGTTAACATGAATTTCTTGAACATTTATTAAGTAGATTAGATTTAATTGGGACTGTAAGCCATGTGGCCTCCATCACCTTTTTAGATCTATTGTGGATATCCTTGAATGGTTGTTTAGAGTACCTTGTTTAATTCAGTCTTTTGTAGTAGACACCATAGACTGGGAAGTTGTTCTCCGGTATAGCTAGTTGCCCTTGGTTTTTCTTCTCCAAGTTTAAAGAATCACAGTCTTGCTAGACCTTCGCAGTAGCACAATACGTGTTCTGCCGTTTCCTCCTCTTCCTGCCGTAATCCGCACAAGGTCTCTTTTGTCAGACCGATATTATACAAATGTTTGTTAAGCCTACAATGCCCTGTTAATAGACCTACTAGTAGTCTAGTATTTTTCCCATTAAGGCTTAGTAGATGTTTAGTGAGTTTAGGCAATGGTCCGTTTAAGAACTCTTTGGCCTGTCTCTGTCCTGAAGAGTTTTTCCACCACTCCTGAGATTTTTTAAACATCCACTGCTTTGTGCATGCTCTGATAGTTGTTTTTGTTACACCTCAGAAGGGTTCTGGGCCAATAAGAGCATTTGATGCTCCTTCTCGGGCTAGTAAATCAGCATCTTCATTGCCCTTATGTCCTCTGTGGCCTGGTACCCAGTCTAAGGTTAGTCTGTTTTGACTACCCAGCTCTGTTAGGGCTTCCAAACAGTCCCACACAAGATTTGAGTGTATCTGCATGGAACTGAGTGCCTTTAACGTCGCTTGACTGAGTATATGATAATGGTTTCTCCATTTATCTTCTGTCTTAATACCTCTTTTTCGCAGTGATGTATTGCTGCTATTTCTGCCTGGAATACTATCGCATGTTTACCTAAGCTACTGAACCTTCATGGGTTTTGGAGTCGTCTGTATACCAGGTGATTTCTGCATAAATAGGAGGTTCTCTCGTCCACGTTTCCCTCTCTGGTATACTTTATACTGCTTTTAAAAACTATACTTTGGAAGCATTTCATCTGAAGGCATTTCCATTATTTGGTCGTTCTACAACTATTTATATAGCTCGCTGTAGTCACGTCCATCCAAACTGCTTATGAGTAATGAACCTTTATGCAATCTGTATGTGACAGACCTGGCTTTGCCTTGAATGAATATATGTAGTAGTGTTAGGTTTAGCATGACTTCTATAGCTGCTGGAGTCGTTCTCATAGCTCTCGTGGTACTCAGGTATGCTTGCCTTTGAATACCATTGAGATGTCGAAAGGCTCCAGCTTGCCGAGTCTATGGCCACCGTACCACCAACCCGTAGGTTATCATCGACCTTATGACTTTGGTATAAAACCATAGGGCTATTTTCAGTTGTAGTCCCCAATTTTTTTATGCAACCATCGACATAAGTTGAAGGATGTTGTGCTCTTTTGTTAATCTGTGGTCAAAGATGACTCCCAAGTATTTGGCCTCTTGAGCCAATGGAATCTTCACTCCTTTCAGTACTGGTGACTTTAGTCCTGTTGGTACTTTTCGTTTTGTAAGTAACTAATTGATTTAATTCCCGTCCCTTCGCCTTTCCT